CACTTTTCCGAGAATACGCGCTTCTTTTGCGGTTCGAACTCCTTCTGACATTTCTTTGGAGGTGGAGGAACACCAGAATACTTGCTTAAAGGAGCTTGCTTCTTCGACATCTTTAAGAGTTCTAAACAAATGTCTGTCCTCCTCCAGAAAATCTTATGTACGCGTTTGCGTTCATAAGATTTTCTGGACGCACCTGTGGACCACTTATGTGCACCTCTGTATAAGACTCGGACTATGCCACACATAGTATCACTACTTGTATTTCTTACCATAAGTCTAAGTATTTCTAACTTTTCTAACTAACTGCCCTTCCGCTGCAATATAAAACCCTTTCAAGTTACACATTTTCACCCTCTACCCAGTGCTATTACCCTTGTGTATTAGGATTCACACAACTTCAACTTCTATTTCACTTGAAAAAACAAAAACAAACCAAGTTAATATCACTGTAGCATGTGAACCTGTAATTGGAGTTAATTTGACTTACAGCAGCAACAAAAGTACTTGTTTAGGGTAAGGAAGAACTCATATTTAATGTTAAAATACAACCTTTCTACCCTTTACTTACATTACAAAGCTTAATGTTACCAGTGTGATAAGGTAGAAGAGGCCTCTATAATCAGGGTAAGGTAATATGACCTTGTGCAGTCCTAGTGAGTAGAAAGAGGCACTTACAATTCGAATTTATAGAACTGATTACAGTTAACAATTGTGATTTAATAAGCTGATAACATTTGAAATAGGTGGTTTGGTGTCTGAAATCACACAAAGCCAGATAAATGCATTGTATTGTCTCATTCTTTTTCTCTGTACACATTAAACAGCATTAAGTTATCATGTTTTTCCAAACTTGGAAATAGAAATAATATGCAATTAGACTTTTCTAGTTGTCTGCAAGGAGAAATGGTACCTGTTTTGGTATTGTGATGCTGATGTATAATAAATAAGAATCAATGAAATGGACTGAACTTTCTGTACGGTGCTGCATGTCTCATTGTGCAGTATGATCTCCAGAGTAAACCGCAAACAGTGATTTCCACTACATTGTCACAATCAGTTTCTAGTTTAAGTTGCATTTTTGATTTTTGCAGTTCTATCAAAACGATCTGACTACATTTTTTTTTGGCCTTTATTTTAAATGTCACAAATTTTAAGCCGAGTGTTCAAATGGTTCCTTAAAAATTTATTTATTTATTTTTTCCATTGACCCATTTCATTATATCAACTCTATTATGGAGTCCATTAAGATATTCACAGTTACACAGTGTCTTATTTACTCATCCGGCTTCATCACTGCTTACTTAACAGCAGGCAGTCACCAATGTGTCTGTTCTGTCCATCACAGCCGACTCGTCTCCTAATCCCTGCGAGGGATCAAAGAGACAGGCTGCTTCTCATATGATACACATTATACACCATGACTGGCAGACCGAAAAGGGTCAGGTTATCTGCCAAGTTCATTTATCATTCTTGTAGAACTAAGCAAAGCATTGTAGGAGAAGCTGCTGAAAATAATGGATTGATGCTACCAACCGTTGAGTTACGGGGTCAGACAAACAGAGAGGGGATGGAAAGATGTTGAAGGCTAAACATTAAATCCATTAATGAAATGTAATGATATCATTATCAGAATAAACACAATTAGTTGTCAGAACTCCTTAAATGTAAATAGGCTGTGGTTGTCTGTATAAAGCACTGTTTCACATGCATCGCCATCCTCAGCTGAAAGAATTCAGCCATTCAGACAGACCCAAGCCTGATCCCGACAGCAGTGTGTACCCCTGAGTCACATTTTACTCCATGACTCATGATATTCAGAGTGTGCTTGTCCCCAGTAATCTCTGTGATTATTTTGGCCCCTCTGCTCTTAATCTGGGCAGAACGAGAAGGATTAGCCTGAATTGGAGTGCCTGTGTCTGTTATCATCTTTACCCCTAAACTGAACCGTCTGGATAGTCTGGGGGTGTGCTACTAAAAACTTGTGAAAATATCCCTGACACTTGTAACCTTTGCCTTGCTACAGAATCCTCAGTCAGCAGGAACAGATCCTAAAATAATTTGATTCTGCACAAACTCATTCATTTTATAAGGTAAGCACGTATGTTTTGCTCAGGCTTGTACAAGGCTTCCGATCAGCCGATTAAAGCCTTCCCTTCTAGGAGTAGCTCCAAAATGGAAAATGAATCTTCTCCCCTTGCCTCCCTCTTTTCCTCACTCCATCTCTGTCCTTGCTCTTTCATTCCCTGTAGACCACCTGCCAGATCAAAGATCCTAATCCTTAGCAAAAAGCCTGGGAGATTAGGTTCATGATCTTGACCTGGTTTTATAAGGAGCATTTTTTTGGCACACCCCATTTCAACAGGGTACACGATTAGGGAATGATGGTACTTAGACCATTGTTTGGTTGGAATCTCCCAGTGGACTTGTAAAGGGGTCACAGCAGCAGAATGTGGATCTATTTTTTATGTGAACTGCAGAAAGGGAAGTCCTGTGAGGGACAGGGAGGGAGCAGTTGACTCAGAAAGATGACAAGACTAGACATAGTGACCTCTGAACTACAGGGGTTTCGGCTTCTGTCTTTGGGCAGATTTAGTAGGCTACTGGGACATTTAAACACCCTTCAGGGTCATAAGGACCCTGCATTGGGGCTTGTTGTATCTGGTTTCTGTCTTGTTGTTAGAAGTAAATTTACAGTTGCAATGATACTGGATGATCCAGATAGGAGAGGAAAGAATGATAAAGAGAAAAGGAAGAGAGACAAAGAGTGCTGTGAAACTTAGGGGCCACTTGTACAAAGTCTATGAAGTGCATTCAACTCCCTTCTCGAGTAAACGGCCCATCTTATGTGATTCTCAGATCATGAGACCTTGACTGATGGAGTATACACCGTAAACCCCCGCTGGCCTGCCGTAAGCACATTACCATATGGGCTGCATTTGTCTGCTGCTAAGTCTTAATAAGATCAGGAGTGCAAAACCTGTGCCAAATCCCCCTCTCACCAAGGGATGCATGCTTGGCACACAGCAAATTCACACATATACACAGGCACACCTTGAATGGAGTTCCATCAGTCTTGGCAGCTAAGTCATTCTGTGATTGAGTCCAGGGCAGAACAGATATCTGCTTGTCTTGTTTGCTGACATCCATTATACACAGACATTTTCATTTGCTGCAGAAAACTCGAAAGAAATATACATCTAGTTTTTCTTGTGGTGTTTACTGTTTCTATTAGGCACTGTTTGTGTTCCATTGCCAAAGTGTTTCATTATATTGTCACACTTAGTGAACTGTTTTTATTAGACGTGTTTGATCAGCATGGTTCTCCAGTCTCTGTATGTATGTGTGTGTCTGCGTGCGCACTTCTGTAAACAGCTAAACTCAATTTTCTCTGTTGGTGGTTGTGTTGGAATGCCTGGCATGGGTTTAGAGAGCCTGGGAAGTCTGACATGGCATCTTGATGTTCACTTAATGTCAAGACTCTGGTTATGTTTTCTAATAAGTGGTGACTGGTTTGATCATTTTGGTGACACATTAAAGCGCCACTTCCTTTTTATCAGCTGTTGATTTTATTCATGTGGTTTATAAATTGTTGATTCAGCATAGCTTGTAAGCATGTGACTTATGATGTGATGAAGTAGCGTTAAAAATCCCACTTTATTCAGTTAAATGATTCAGTACTTGGATAAATAACTTCCAAAGCTTAAAGGACGAGTTTTATGGGCTAGGATGAATTTTTGACCGTTTGCTGAGAGAGATCACTGACAAAATCTGCATGTTTTTGATGATATAAACTTGAAGCTGCAGGCAGCAGCCAGTTGGTGAAATTTACCATTTAGAATGGGTAAATATCTAGCTTGATGTTTTTCAAAGATAAATAAATAAATGTTACACTTTTTAAAATATTTTAAATACACACATTAAATTAGACAGATCTGTGTATTGTGTGATATATGTTGAGGTATATGCTGAGCAACAAAAACGTTTGCCTAATGTGCTGCTGGTCCTTCACGTCCTGCCAAACAGCTTGGATACATTTGAGTCGAGGACTCTGCAGGATTTCCGAAGGTCCATCCAGCCAACTATTTTATTAACTACTTTCCCACCCATGGTCACGGGGACTTGAGCTTATTGCAGCTGACAGTGGATGAGAGGCAGGTTTCACTGTGAGAAACCCACTGGTCTATTCCAGGGCTAAAGCAGAGAGACAGGCAACTATTCACACCTACGGCCAATTTAAAACCACATAGGGCTGTTAACAGTATCCTTATATTGTGCTATCTATTATACCAGTATACCATGTAAGGCACCCTAAATTATTCAGCTAGACCCTAATAAGACATTAATAAGAGATCCTTAAAATACTATCAGTTGCAAGTCGAAGTCACAATGTACCAGACCTGTTCCAGGACAACACCCTTTCCCTGGTTCATGGTTTGTGCCAAATACTTCCAGGAATATTCTGATGGACATCTGACGATAAGAATTTGGCCTTTGTTAAAGTAGCTAAGGTCTTTACACCTGACCATTTATCTCCCATCCAACTCCTCGACTACAAGAAATGACCATTCATTTATTGTATAGTCTTTTACTTTTAAATGTACAGACTTTTTTATGTACTCCATTTGCATGTTAATCATTATTGCTTCTGCAAGATGGCTTTTACAGCTTTCTCACAGGTGTACAGGGATTTCATTGAAAAAGTTATATGAATAGAACGAGAACTAGAAGTGTTGAAAAGAAAAAATTTGGGTGGATCTTTTCCACTGACCAGCTGTCTCTCCCGTGAACTGCTCTGGCACGTTAGTGCTGTTGATATATTGCCAAAGGTCCTGTAGCACTTAAACAAATCTACCTTCCCTGTAATTCCTCTCCCTTTTCTCTGTCTTATCTCGTCTTCTACCCAGGCCACAGAACAATGGCAAGTTTTGCTCAGGCCCCAGCCGTCTCAACCAGCTGTGTAATATTCGTCCATGCCCTCCCAATGCTGTGGATTTCCGTGCCCAACAGTGCGCTGAGTACAACAGCAAGCCCTTCAGGGGCTGGTATTATAAGTGGAAGCCCTACACCAAAGTGGATGGTAGGTGGTCAGTTACTTACAATCCCCACAAGTAAATGACACAAAATACAAAATACACAGTAGATCTTGTGGATTATGAGTAAATACAGTGATTTACTGTATTCTTGGCACGTTATATTCATTGGCTAAAGGCCACAGAGCTTTTAAATATACAGAGAATTGCAGATTGTTCAGGGCAGGTTTGCTTGTCTTAATTCTCTAGATCTTTTATATTCTGCACCCGCTCTGCTTCCCCAAAACTCTTTTAAAAAGAGTTTCTGTAATGCCAACCTCTATTTACTGCTGCAATGATTAGGGCCAATAAGCTGAAGGAAACTATCACTGTGTGTAATGTGCATGGAAGACATGTAGCCACCTGCACCCTCTGACACACCGAGAATAGATTTAAAAAGGAAGCCTGCGGGCCAGCTTTGTTACACAGAGCAAGGGAAAGAGAGTGCAGTGAAGGAGAGCCGTGTGTTTGGCTGTCGTCCCAGGCCTGTTTAAGCTGGAGATGAATGGGGGGTGATCTAGAGAGGAACAGATTCTGAACTGCCTTCTGGGACCTTGGGCCAAGTCACCTTCCTCGTCATTTATTTTAATCAAAGACGGCTGTAGAGACTTGTCTGTGATAACTGATCTGAACTACAAAATAAACCTGTAGCCCCATATGAATACCCCTGGGTGCATTCGTAGTTGCTGTCTTTTGTGTTTCAGTCTTAGTGCATACCTGCAGAGTCAGTAGCCTCTGCAGCTGTAAACTGACCAGACAATAAAACTTGAAGAACAGTTTGTGCATTTTACAGGTGATGCCATCATTCTTAATGATACCTCTCTTCCTCTCCTCTGTGCAGATGAAGACATCTGCAAGCTGTACTGCATTGCAGAAGACTATGACTTCTTCTTTGCTATGTCCAGCAAAGTTAAAGATGGCACTTCCTGCTCTGACCACAAAGAAGATGTCTGCATTGATGGAGTGTGTGAGGTATATCAGCTCTGTGGATTCACTGTACTCCAAAAGTGAATGTTTTCTGTTGTATGAGAGGCACAGTTAGTGTCAGAATCAAAAGACAGTGCAGTTGTCTGTAGATAATCAGTATGTGCAGTTGCATCAAATGCATTGAGTAAATGGAAAAAGGGTAAAAAAATCTTTTGGAGTAATTTCTTTGGCTTACTTAGCACTGGGAAGACACTTTTGCACTATTTTAATGTATTCTCTGTTTTCCTTTATTTATGAGCTCTTTATGAAAGCGTTTTAAAATTGTTGTCACCTCAGAGTAACGCTGCTTCTCTAGTCAAAGTGATATTCATCTTGTAGTCTTTCTTCTTGAGTTATCACCCTTTGATGCATAGATTTGTTGATAGTTGGAGAGTTTATTTTATTGACACATGCACTTCAAGAAACAAGCTTATCATGCTCATTTTGCTCCATTCACACTGATGGCAAACATGCATTTGTGTGTGTGTTTAGGCTGTAGGTTGTGACCAAGTTCTTAGCTCCAAGGCCTCTCTGGATGCCTGTGGAGTTTGTAAGGGAGACAACTCCACTTGCAAGTTCTTCAAAGGCCGGTACACTCTGCAACACCGGGCTAACGGTAAGATTGTGTTTGTCCTTGTTAATAGTGTGTCTGAACATGTTAGGTGGCGTACACTGAGTATTTTTACAATACAAAAGAAGACTTAACCAAAGAAACAAGGATAAAAAATTAAATCCACAGACAGACACATGCACATAATTCCACTGGATAATGGACTGACTCACCTCAGAAGAGGTTAAGCCATGGTAAAATCTGGATGATGTTAGCAGGATGAAACATGACAGGATTATAGAACAGCAATAATAGCTAATAATGATTTAGTGTTGGCTGTTGTTCCTTCTCTTTTTGAAACCAGAGTACTACTCCATGGTGACAGTTCCAGCTGGGGCTAGAAGTATTCACATTCAGGAAATGGAAGTCTCCACTAGCTACCTGGCTGTCCGCTCCCTGAAAAAGAAGTACTACTTGACTGGGGAGTGGACTGTGGACTGGCCAGGGAAGTTCCACTTTGGTGGAACCGTATTCGACTACCAGCGCTCTTTCAACAAGCCGGAGAGCCTGTATGCTGCTGGACCGACTAATGAGACGCTGGTGTTTGAAGTAAGCCGCTGCTGCTGGGTGACATCCGTCTATGGCAATTGACAGTGACAGGGGTCTTTGGCGGATCTGCTGCACCTCCTTTTTAATGCTTGGACATGATGAGGGTTAGATGAAAGAAGTTTGGTGCTATGGAGAAAAAGACTGGTTGAAGCTTCCTGCAAATCTTCTGTGAATAATTAATTGTTTTGGGTGTCTGATTATGCCAGAAATGGGTGGGTGCTTTGTAAAGAATGGACACATTTTTATCTAAGTCACAGTGAAAACGATTAAAGGGCACACATTGAACACATCTACTGTGCTCGCTAGCAGCCTACAGGGACTATTTTAGTACTAACTGATCTCTGTAATCCACTTGTATCATACACAAGAATTCAGACAGGGCACCCTATTGCCAAACTCCAGTCCAAACAAAGCCACATGTTCATATCTATTGACATATATTCACAGCTGTTAATGCAGACCCTGTGCTTTGTTGTAGCGTTGCAATTTGAGTCAAATTGAGCAAGTAAAATCCCAACATGAACGGCCCTTTAGTGGGTAGGAAGAAAAGCATAAAATCAGATGGTTACTTGGAGTGAGATATTCTGCACAGTAAAGCAGAAGATTTATTATGTGGTGGTCCATATTTCTGCTTCATGTTTGTATTCAGTGGTGTGTTAGAAACCAGAGCTTCAAGGGGAGTACGAGTCTTTACCTGTCCTAAAGTAGCAAAATGTGATGCTGGACAGAGGTATCCTCCTGAAAGCAAAACTAATATTCAACAAGTGGCCAAGTCATTCTGAGGTTTTAAGTGAATGCTGGTGGGAGGTGTAGGATGTTTTCTCACATAACTTTGTCAGCAAAAGCATTTATTTTGTTTTGACCTTTGAACTCCAGCCGTGAAAACAGAAGTGAAAACCAGGTGAAAGCCAGTTTTTTTTTTGCCATGGGGGGTGGGGGTGATATTCATGTAAAATCTAGTCTCCCCTCAATGCCCTGGGCTACTGCAATACTGTGGTTAAAACAGGAATGATTGGGCTGTAAATCCAACAGGAATACCAGTGTGATATTTTCAAAGTACTTGGATTGGATGGTTACTTGTTTGGCCATCAGGAAACATCCGTGTTTATATAGCTTTTTTAGAAAGAGGCTTTGGTCTGTGGGCAGTTTAGTGGAGTCTGTGTTGTAGTTGGCATTTGAAAAGCACATTGTTGTCCTTTTGCAAGATGAACCCTTGCAGAAGTGCAGAGACATGCACACATAACGTGCATCTTAGTTTCAGTCGTGGTTGGCGACATAGCTTAAAGAATAGCAGTGCTGGATAATTTGACTGATCGGCACTTTGTGTAAGGGAGAAACATTTCAGCGGCTGTTGGGAGGTTTGTCATCAAACTTGGTACAGATAATGCTCAGAAAATACATTCCACAAACTTTAAATCAATTCCCTATTCTTTTTTTTTTTAATCAACAGGATAACAATATTTTCATATAAATTACTCACCATTTTCTAAATAGATAAGCAAATAATTTTGTACAAACATTTGTGGTTCCTAGTACTTAGACTTCACCAAGTCTAAGTACAAAAATAGGAGAAAACCCCACCTCAGCTCCACTTTATGTTTAGAGCATCCCCTGAGTGATGCCAGAGAATGGAAAACATTTTAGGTTTGTGTGCTGGGGAGGTATTTTTCCATGACCTGAGTGGCTGATAGATACATGTTTAAAATACTGACCACTGCAAAAATCCATGTGCTTATATTTGACAATATAAGCACAAGAGCTACTGATCACAGAGACCCGAACAGATTTTCTGACAAAATCAACAAAAAAGTATGGTTTTATGAGAGCGTGAGATTAGTGACAGTGACATTATATATGACATCAGGGTTGTCAGTCAGTAACAAAGTATACAAAACTAGCTGCAGACATACCCAGTAAGCTATAAACACACACAATGTCAGTAAGAATAACTGAACGATGATTGTACACGCTGGTCTGAGTGGGCTGGAATGTGAGCCATAGTTTTTTGACTATGATGACATTGCTATTGGCAGGTTAATTGCTCTGAATTGTGAGTGCAGCACAAACAGTAAAATGAATCTGTCACATATCATATCCATCACACTTTACATACTGATTCCTGTCTATAGCAATATGTACAAAGTTTTCTAATGCAGCGAAAGATCGTTACAGACGTTTTGGAAACGGTAATTTTAAGTTTTGCATGTGGATCAAGAGATTTAATAAAATGTTACGTCTAAACAGTTGTCTTTGGCTCACTATAGTGTCATATTAACCAAAAGAAATAATAACAATAACTACACAAATGTGCCCTATCTTGAAAAAATGATAATTGAAAGAAAGTTCCTTTTTTTTAGGCTGATGGTACTCCTCTTACGTGTCTGTGTGTTCTGATCATACATCTGTCCAGCAGTGGACTCGGCGATGGCTTGCAGCTGATCTGCAGATGACATGACCATAATCTCTATAAGTATGTCCTGTAATTACAAAAAGGAGAAAGAGGTTGATAGAGGGAGAAGGATAGAAAGAGAGAGGATGCAGAGTGAGATTAAAAGATTAAGAATTCTGCAATTGAACTCTGGATGTGAGAAGTTAAGGTCAGGGCACGAGGACTTTAAGTGCAAATGAAAAGAGCCAAATGATGGAAGGAGAGCGCAGATCTCTTCATCTGTTTCACACATTCTATTTAACTGGTGCTGTCACAGAAATGGGGGAGGATATACACACGGATCACTTGCAGACTCTCACTCAGCTTGAAGCGCTCAAAGAAAAACAAATGGTAAGGAGTGTGAAGTAAACTGTGACAAGGTGTCCACATCTGCACAGCTGCTTAGCTGGTAGGAAGGATGAGGGAAGGGGGCATAGAAATAGCTCACAGGAGGTGGTAGAAGGAACAGACACAACATATGGCTGCTTCCGGAGCTCTAAGTGAATACCAAGTAGGATTATTCCCCCTGGAATTGGCATTCTTGTGGTATGGGAAGCAGGGTCATGCCAGTCCAACACAAAACGCTGTGAGATTGATATCTGAGTCCACCACATTGCAATTCATCATCATCCCAGCTGACTTGACGAGTGCTGTGATTGTTGGGTTGTGAAACCAATACACTCTGTGGTCTGCTGTTGCACTCTAGGAAGCACATTAGTTTCACAACTTAAATATGTTTGTAGCCACTGAAAGTCATTCAAAGACGATAATAAACATTTTCCTTTCCTAAAGCCCAAAAAAAGAGGATAACTCAAGTCAATAAAGACCATCTTGAGCTATGATTTTTATTACTTAATAATTAAATTCCATATTTGTTTCGCTATGTTTTTCCTTTTCATTTTAAAGCATTTTTGAAAATGAAACCCTTAATTCTGCTAACCATCTGCCACAGTAACATGTCCTTGTCTGATGTATGTTTATTAGCACCAGGAAATGCAAAGAATTCCTTTGTGTCCCTGGTTCCCAAACTTATGTCTAATAATCTGATCACTGAAACAAATAGGAACAAAACTTTCCCAGGTGAGTTATCGGTGCAAAATATGAACAATATCATTAGGAAATATACTGGTTAAAAGATTTCAAGTTACACAACAATAATAATGTGAACATTTAGCAAGTGAAACACTCAAAACTTTACTGTTATGTTTGCCAAATGTTTGCCGACATATTCTTTGAGCTGCTTCGCCATAGCAGATTCACTCAAGGCTTGTTGGCAGTTTGGTGTTTAGAGGTTCCCAACATGTAAACTATATTTTAATGAGCAATGATTTCTCAGAAGTTATGTGGAAAAAAGAATTAGGGACTTTATGTTAGTTGAAACTTACAATACATCCTCATACGTAAACGACAAAACAGCTATATTGCCAGTAAGACCCAAAACACTCATGAATCTTTCCACATTTGCAATGCTAACGACACTAGTAACAAGACTAAACGTAGTATGTAATGGTAATGGATGCTAAACTGCATTTGGTGGTTAAAGATGTGATGGTAGAAGGAAAATGTCTTCCGTCTGCAAAAAGCTTCTCATCTGTTGTATTTGCTAGCACAGTCACAAGCCCTGCTGGTATCATCACCAGTGCGTCTGAACAGTTTGGACATGATGCATGCACTCACTAACACGTCTGTTGGAGGCCCCCTGAGTAAACCCTCTGCGTTGTGCTGTTAGTGTGTCAGTGCAGATAAGGCTCATGTAGAGTTTGGGTCAGTTTTCATGTCTTGTGACTAAATCGAGGCAATATTTTGCTGCTTCTGTAAGTTTGCTTTGACTACAAAGGAGTTCACAAGGCCAGTGTGTGTTCTGTCTATTAAATGGGAGCATGCAAGTCATTGAAATTATCGCTGGTATTGTTACTGATTGCAGAAAGTTGTTAATTTTGGCTTGAATAGTGGTAGGTAGGTGATTGTTTTTTGTTCGTATTGGTTTAGTTGTTACTGAAAGGTTGAGCTTTGGGTTTAAATGATCAAAAACTAAAGCAGCGGTGGGTAGGTTTGTCTGAAACTATTGTTTCTATTGTCTCCTGGCAGACAAATGCGAACACTGCGGTTGGTTGGGTGTTTTAAACATTGTACATTTCTTAGGGAAGAAAGATCAGTGATTTGGAAAGCTTGAACAATTCAAGGGCATCTAAGTCCTCTACTAAAGTGACTATAAAAACTCTGACCAGAGTTGTTTTTGTAGCTGCTGTTTCACATCACTGGTGGTTGTTTGGTGAAAGAGCAGAAAGTTGGTTTGCTTGGATAAGCACAATGTCCCTGTGTGGTTAGTGGTGGCAGTTTTTCAATGGCATTGGGTTTGGTTGGTGTTGGTAGCATGGACAAAGAAACTGTGGGTGTTAAAATGTGGCCAACCCTTATGTGGTTTTGTTGAGTCTGCAGTTTTTATCACTTTAGCAAGATACTAAAGTTTAGTATCTCAAACAATTAGGAATGCGTCACGGTGCTGGGTCATGTGACCCAGTGGTTGAATTTTTATGTATCTTTTGTATTCATTTGTGTTATAGTTTAACTCATCTAGTTGATTTCTAGGTTGCAGTTTAGTCCTTTGTTTCTTAGTCCCTTTTGTCATCTCTCCCTGGTCCGTGCGTCCACTTGTCATGTTTCATGTCTGTGTGGCTCCTGTTGTCAAGTTTGTGTCATGTCTATGTCTCTGTGTTTCCGGTTTTATTTTGGAAGAGTCTGTGTTTTGTTCATTGTAATTAGTGTTACTCTCCCCTGTGTTGTCATTATGTTTCATTCTAGTCAGCTGTGTCCTCATATGTCTCCACTTCCCCTGATCATGTGTGTATTTAAGTCCTCAGTCTTCCTGTGTTTGTCGTCGTGTCATCTGTGTTACATCCCTCATGTCGTGTCAGGTTAAGTAGTTTCAGGATTCTTGTGCAGTTCATGCTTCTGTTAGTGATTCATGAATTTCATTGTTTCATCATGCACTCTGCACAAGGTCCTGTTCATAGTCATTGCCAGTCTTCCTAGTTTGTCATAGTTAAGTCAAAGTTTTCCCAGTGTAGGTTCTAGTTTAGTTTCGCCTCTGTCCTTGCTGCTTTATGTTGCCCCTATATTAGCCATAACAAAGGCTCGCCTTTTGTTAAAGTTAGTTCTGTCTCCTCGCCTGTGTCCGCACCTGGGTCCTCCACACACTCTCCACATGGTCTGCCACTGCTGATTTGACTCGTAGGTAGTAATTAAGGTTACTTGATGGCAAAAATGCAGCCTAAAGACACTTAAACCATATAGATGTTGAGAAAGATCTTAAGTAGAAAATGTGACATCAGAACCACTTTTGCCCCAACTAAAATTAAATTGAAGTATTGATTTTAAAACACTGACTTACGGATACATTTTTCGGACATTGGGTATCTGCTTGCTCATAGATTTGCATCCCTCCTTTTGTCCCCCATCTTGCAATAGTTGACTTTATGCATTGGACAGTTAACAATCAGAAGGTTATTTTTAAGTTAGTGGAAGCGTCCCAGAACTGTTTAATGTGGATTGAACCCAGGAGGTGCTTGGCGTTGAATGGTTGATGGTAGATTCCTTTCAACTTTAGGAAATACCCCAAAGAAAATACACCTGTCAAAATCCATTATCACAGATGCTGATAGACTGTGATGTTTCTCAAGAATCACAGGTGGACTTAATACATTTTGCCAAATGGGCTGAGGAGTAATAGTTACCCAACCTGGACTAAACCGTGGTTGGATGCAAAAGAGACAAAGCTATGCTGAATACAATCCAGTGCAGTGTTTTGAAATGGTTTAAAATAACACACTAGGAGCTGACTATGTAAATGCATGTCAAGCAAAACTTTTCACCGCAGCAGGGAATTCTTATGGGTTTTTTTTAATGATAGCCTGATGCTTCTCCTGTAATGGGCATGTCTGCATTCATTCATCCATTAGTCTCTGCCTGACTTGAATGTTCAAATAAATCTCTTGTGCAGAAAGGGTACCTCAGAATCACTGGGCTGTGTAAAGGACGTGGTTAAAAAAAAGAGACACATCACAAAAGAAAATGGAAATTGTCCCTTGCATGAGCATTATATGATCCAAATAAAAGTGTGCTCATCCAGTTCAGGGTAGAAATGGAATAAAGCGTTTTGTAGGGTTTCTAGAATCTTCTCATTAGTAGGTAGTCTGTCGAGCAGCTCGAGTAAACTTGAACGGCCTAAATAGGCTAATCACATTGGCGGTTGTCTTGCATTTAGTCTCTTACAGTGGGGTTCATAACAAATGGGTAATTTGCTTTGGTTTAGAATGCGCAAGACATAATACATGGATTACTGGAGGTCTAATAATCAGTCGACATTTGAGGGAATACGTGGGTTTGGTGCTGAAAAGACATGTAGATGAACCAGTGCTAAATATTTGCCTTACTTAGCTTCTTAAATATTTAGTGTTCCTTTCTGTTTAGTATGCAGTAATGCTATATTCTCTAAATTAAGCTACAAAGGGCGGCTTAGAGCTTTGAGGAAGGATCTAAAGGTTGCTAGTGTCACTCCCTTGAGCAGCTGGGAAAACGCAGCTGTAGCCTGGTGGATGACTTACAGTTTGATAAATAAAGGTTAAAAGATAAACTTTCTCTACATAGCTGTCACCTTTTTTGACTGAATGTTTTCTTGTCTGATAGATCCTTCTGCAGGGAAAGAACCCGGGTGTGGTATGGGAGTACACTTTGCCTCGCACTGAGAGGAAGCCTGATTACAGCTGGGGTGTGGTGCGCTCGGATTGCTCTGCTCCCTGTGCCGGAGGTGAGGCAGTTTTTATTTGTATGTCCATCTGTTGATGCCTGGATAAAACTAGAGGAGTTCTGTACACAGGATAAGTAAATTAAATTAACATTTGCCAAAATCCACCACTGAACTGCAACAGTCAAATCAAGCTAACATTACTTTAATTGACAATGTAGCAGCAAAGACTTCAAACTTGGAATTGATGGAATTGATCATCAATTAAATAGCAAATAAACTAAGAAGACTTCTTTTAACATCTCAATTTGAAACAAAATCCCCAGCGTTTTAAAATCTGCTCAGGATTTGGAATGCATCAAATCAGCCCCTGATGAAAAGCCTGAACGGCATAGCAACAGAATCTAAGTTGCTTACAATAAAAGAGAGGCAGAAATATGTGCAGATGTACTAAAAGTGATAAGGAAAAGTTGTGTGTGTGTGTTTATAGGTCTGATTTTTCTGTGTGTGGCTGTTTTTGTGTTGTGTATAATACCCTGATGAACAGTGTTCCAGGAAATGTGCTAAGGTTAATGAAAAGCACCTTTGTCAGACTTTCTCCTGAAAGACTCACAGCTACTATCCAGCTTACTTGTTAGTGAATAGCTGTTGTGTTTACGGTACATGTAGTTTCATTTGCCATGCCTCTAGGTGCTGCGACAGCCGGCAGACCTGTAGACATATTTTTTGTGTTGATTCATGACAGTTAGAAAATTTAAATTTGACTTTAAATGCATCCACATTGCAGGGATGAAAAATAAAGATCCTTAATTACCTGAAAGAAACACATTACGATTTCTCTGCTTCTCTCTCCCTGTCTCTCCATCAGGTCGTATCTCAACCAAGGCTATCTGTTTGCAGGACCAGAAGGCTCAGGTCAACTCCAGCATGTGTAATCCCCACACCAGGCCTGCACTGGGCTCCCATCTCTGCAATACGCAGCCTTGCCCTGCATAGTAAGTGTGTGTGGGTCAAAGAATTTCTATGTGTACAGTTGGCTGTGGGATATGTGGCATGTGTCTTTATGCTGCCAAATTTTCAGGAACCTAGGGTGCTGTTTTGTTTTTTTTTAATAGGTGCGCGCACACACACACACACACACACACACACACACACACACACACACACACACACACACAAATACTGTGGTTGAGCTGTCTAGAGGTTGCCTGTGGTCTATTTGCTGTGGCTAGCCAGCACTCCGCTCAGCCTGTGTTCTTCTTGTCACTATCCTCGTCTTTTCTCGGCCCACTTTTTTTTTTTTTGAGAAAACACATGAAAGCCCACTGCATCTTGTGCTCTTTTGGATAAGTCTTTGTTGACTTGAAGTGTTTTCTCCAGCTGTGTCTCCATGTGAGTGTCAAGTGTTGGTAACTGATCTCTTGTCTACACGTATGCCCTGATGATTTTCATTCTTTCATTTAGACCATTTAGTTTAAACAATTTTAACATGGCCTTTTAACCCGTTAATGATCCTGAGACCTAAAAATGCAAAATATGAGAAAAAATGCTACATTGTTTTTGATCACTAGAAAGAAACTTTCCAAGCTCATGCTTCATCTGAGCTGAATCTACCGCTGAAGTCACAGAGGTCATGTCCATATTTCTGTCAGTGTTTGTAGTGAAATAACAAAAATAGCAAACTCTTTAGATTTTTAATATGGATTGTGACATTTTAGGCTAAATATCAAATTATGCAAATGCAAAAAAAAGAAACAAATTTTAGGCAATGATTTAACTAAAAAGGAAACATTGGGGTTGAGATGAAAAAATAAAGAAAAGCAAGGCTAAAGAGCAGGAAGAAGACATCAAAGCTGGCTCTGAACGACTGCTGATTTCTGTGCATACCCTCTCATATATACTCAGCCCAAAGCTTCCTGCATTTCTCAGTAGCAAAACCATGGCTGTGTTTTATCTCCTTGGTCTAGACACTGAGCCTAATGGCATGCATTTTTAAAGGAGACAGTGCATTTTGGGACCAATGCAGCAAGCAAAGGAGGAAAACAGGAGATAGTTCAGTGGAGTAACAAGTTGAAACAGCGCTGAATAAATGGCCCCTCTTCTACAGTATGTAGGGCTTTGGCTTGGGGAAATTGAGCTAGCTTGATTTACAGCATTGCTCCAAAGAACAGGCAAGAAACTGTGTCTTAGGTTCAGAGAGAGTACTCACTCATGCACATGCAAACACACACACAGAGAAAAGCAACATGCCAACATAGAAAGGCAGCATGCATTCTTATAGTTCCTTTTCCAAATGCATAATGCTGGAATCATGTATTTCTGGTCCAAACCGTGCTTTAAAAGTAGAAATATAAGCTGCTTCTCTGATCTTAATGATGTTGTTATTTTGTTCACTATTAGCCATGCTACAACAAGTCCAGACTGAACTTTCTCCTGTGTCAGGAGTTGAATAAGCCAGACAGCTATCAGTTACACCTCCAGCATACAGCCTCTGTTTCTTACTAAGTTTCCCACCACCCGAGAGGACATTTCCTGCTCCTAATCTTGGGCATACCATTTCTGCTATCTCGGTGAAAGCTATTAAACAGCCTTGTTGCGTGTCCCATCCGCGTCTTTTTGCTTAGCGCAGAAAATGGTATAAATAATTACTGTCCATGCAGGGAAATAAATAAGCTTGACACCCATGGATTCTATTTTCTACAGTAGCTGACAGTTTTTCTCAGATGGTTGTGAGTATGGGCCAATTTATGGATGCTACACAGGAAGCAAGTTGAGTTGAGTGAGCAGCATGAAAGCTTTAATGACTGCATTAAGACCTCCAGGATGTATGGGCACGCATTCAAGAGCCCAGCAGAGAAAAGAAAAATTGACAATGAAGTGGATGCATGTGTACTATGTGAGTGAACAGTGCGAGTGTGTGTGTGTGTGTGTGTGTGTGTGTGTGTGTGTGTGTGTGTGTGTCTGGAAGGAGGGGTAATGTGAAAGTGCCTGTTTATCTCTGTGACATGTATCTCGGGTGCTGACAGGCCTATCCATGTTTTATTGTGCAGAGATGGAAGGATTCCCATGGGGCCAGGCCAGTCTAGCCATGCAGAGCCAGTCAACCCCCACCCCAAGCCCAACGCTCACAGCCTCACATAAAATACACACACAGCTTCACCCGTTCACTCTTATCTACTCCCTTTCTTTTGCTTTAGACCTGTTCTCTCTCTACTTTGCGGGGATGCTGGACTGTGATGTTGCAGCAGGTTCCCATAACATGGGGACGGAAGGAGAATTTTAATAAGTCAGTTCAAACATTTGGGCTAGCTTGAAATTAGGAAGAGAATCCTCCTTTAAAGATATTTAACTCAGCATGAACATCAGTTTTGTAAGTGCCAACAAATCAGTTCAAACGATCTATGTACCAGGCATATTTACCACTTTTTAGGATCTATACTGCAAAGTTAAGAGTAAAATAACTTCAACATGAAAAGAGCACCTTTATCTTATTACTCTTTTCAACTTGCAACAGCTTCTAGAGCTCACTGAATGTTTGTGAAGAGACAAAGGACACAGTAAATGCATTTGCTAAAGGACTGGACATGTGTGGGAAATGCAAACCAGACAAGCAGCTTGTTAAAGAAGGTTGGATTGTGGTATATAATTATGCTTAGGATCTTAAGAAAACCACACGGCTCCAATATTAGAATTAGAATAGTTCCATTCACTGGTGGTACCTGGTCTGCAGCCATGCAAGTACCAGAAAATATACAGTCGAGCTTTTCAGAACCTCCTTTGCAGCAATGTGCTGTTCCTACCTCAGGTAATGAAACATTTTAGAGATACAAATTACAGCTAGGTCAGTGGTGGTTTGCAGTGAAGCGGAGTGGCTCTTCAGCCACTTTCCCCCAATGATATATTGTTATTTATAAGCCAGGAAAAACAGCAGGGGAAAAAGCAAAACAGTCCACAAGCCAAAAAATCCCAAACCATTCCTTTTGGGTCCCACTGGTTGACATCTATCCCATTTCCAAATTGTAGTTTAGTCCCGCAGCTTCATTTGCCTGTGGCATTTGAACAAAAATGAAAGCATTTTTCTTCCCCTGAAGCAGGTCGGTGGTATGGAGGAATGGTCCCTGTGGTAGCGTGTTCTCTCAGAACTGGACAGCGCCATCTGCCCATCCCTCCATCTCCCTCTTCTAAGCCTGTGGTTGTCAGACCACTCATTTGGTGAAATCTCCCCCTACAGCCCTGATGCCAAGAAAGAAACTATTTTAGACATAACAGGAGGCTTTTCATCAGTGGTGAAGCAGGATTTCAAAAGGACAAAGAGCGAAGAGATTAGAAGTAAGAAGATGAGGGCAGAGTGAACAGGTGAAAGAGAAATAAATGAGCCAAACAAACCAAAGGGGAAGAAAAAGTGTTGCATGTTGTGGTTGGCCTTGAGGAACTTGAAAAAGCTGTCATTAAGAGTCAGGTATAGAAATGGTTTTCATGTTTAGTTTCATATACAATGATAAATATGGAGATTGATCGAACTGCAGAGACATGAAGATATATTCTGTCTTTTCTTTTATTGCTGATAACCAGCTCTGAGCCAAGAATCTAACTTAATGAATTCATTTTTTTTTATTTAACCAGGGTAGAAAGGGCTGTTTTACGAAGCACAACAATAAGAACTTTTCAGAGATGTTTGGTGCGATGACAGCTTGTATTTCAGTGGGTAATTGAGGTTAATTGGTAAAAAGGAAGTTTTTCTTTCCCACTCATGCACTTGGGAAAAGCACAGAGTGGGATTGTCAGTTTCTATGATATTGTAAGGTCTTGAACTTGGAATATGCAGCTCTGTGAGACAACTGTGCTGAATGGCACTAAAGTAAGATGCAATTAAATAAAACTCAATTTCTGTATTTGAGCAGTGACTGAGGCAAACCTTCCATGTTTTCTTAAATCTCCTCTGCTCTCTTGGCACAGTTGGGCACCAGGAGACTGGGGTGCTTGCAGTCGGTCATGTGGTGGCGGTCAACAAACCAGGACACTGCGCTGCATGAGGAAGGTAACTTACCAACGGGAGGAGGTGGTGGCGCACTCCTTCTGCCCTGTAATCTCTCCGGCCCAAGTCCAGCCCTGCCACACCCAGTCCTGTCCGCCAGAATGGAGCACTGGATCTTGGTCACAGGTGGGTTTGTAGCAACATTCCAAAACCACAAGAGCAGCGTAGCTTTTAATTTTGACAGTCCACGTTGACCTAGGATGAATCGCTATGAAGTTTTGTACTGACATTTACGATCCCTGCAAGTCAAATCCTAATGACTTTGGGGACCCTCTGCCTTTTCCTTTATTACCACATGAGGTTTATATTCATGGTTTAAGGAAAATATTTTGGCAACTACTAAATGGATTTCTGTGACACTAGTTACTGTTATTCATGTTCCCCATAGGGTAGTCTGCAATAACTCTGCTGACCCTTCACCCAACAGTCAATCTAGTGCCATTAACAAACTCAATGTTAACACTTAGCAAATGTCCGTACGCAAACATGTTAAACTCAAGAATTAAACTGTTGTGCTCTCCATGGCATTACACATTTAGAACACAGTAGCACTGCACAGCTTCAGAAAGCTCTTAGCAAAAGAGCAGAATACTTTTTTCTACACACATTTTCAGGGAATTATACCAAGACGATCTGACATTTTATTTACTTCTGTGCATTTCCCACCATGAAAAAGGCTTTAGGTATTGTTTTTTAAATTTTGCTTAAAAAATGAGTTTATTTCACTCATAGGTGTCAATACCCAGTCTTTGCCTACTCTATTGTTAAGTCATTATTTTTTTACTAAAAGGGTTAGAGGTTATGAGGGATATCTGTCATAGCTAATTTATTTTCCTTAAGTGCAAGTAAAGCATCACCAGTGTGTGGTCAATGCACACTGGTATGTCTCGGCATGACAGAACCCTGTCTGTGTCTAGGAAGGTACATATTCACTCATACACTGAGTTTCCTTTTCAAGCTGTCAGTTGTTTCACTCAAGCTCAAACAAATGCTCTGCTGCCCTCTGTTGGATTTTTTTGCCTTTATTTAGATAGGTGGGTCCCATTAAGATTATTTTCCTATTTATAGGAAGTTCTGGATTTGTGGAACACAGTACGAGATAAATTACACAATGTAATAGTCTTTACTAGTAAAGAAAGATCACTTGTCAGGAATATTAAAGTTTTAAAAAAATTCAGATTAAAACAAATTCTTACCCTTTTCTATATTTCACCTCCTGTCAAAATTAAGTCCTTTGTGTTGTTTGACACACACTATTTAAGAACTAACTGTATCCATCTAGTAACATAGCACATCCTTAAATAACAACACAGCTACATAAGGTGGAGTCAACTCTTTTATAAGCAATGAGTAGTTATTCGCTGCACAGAACTGTGTTTTGTTTCTTTGCAAAGCATGGTCTTGATTACATTGTTTAATGATCTGGCTAGTTGATGGATTTGGCTGGTTCCTCTTTATCTACAGTGCATCACATAATAGACTGAGCCTTTCAGTGCTCATATCCCTGTATACAATATTAATAGCCTGGCAGCACATCTGATACTTTGTAACTGTTCCAGGTTGTTTAGCTGATGTGACCTATGCAGTCCGGACATTCAGCTGCCATTCAGCCATCATTCTTCGGGACACTCAAATTGTGTGTTTGCACTATTTTGTAACAGCAGCCTGAGTTCAGTTTGCGGTCAGGCAGAGACAAGGCCAGCGTCCCTGAAAAGATCAATCGGAGCTTTTAGTGACAAGAGGACAACTGGGATGTGTGTAGTTGTGAGTGTAGATGCTCAGATGTGTGTGTCTGTTCTCTAATAAATTAATGCGGTGTGTTCAGATAATCTGCCCTGATGGCTGTGCTCCTCAGTCCCAGTGGGGCAGTTCGACTCTGCTGTCCATCTCTCTGCAGTTCACATGGAGTTTACAGAACCAATGTCTGCTGTTAGTGAGGACTTTGATGAGTTGGGGTCACATTCATCCCAGAGTTATTGGTTTATTGTGTTTAATGACAGGCCATAATGTGCTGCCATCAAACCAGTGACCTTCTGTTTGCTTATCCACCATGTGGTGAATTAGGAATGCATTAACAGTGTCTGTGCCAAGGATTTAACTGCTGTTAATATGGCCTAATGTTTAAATGTGATGGAAGCTGAAGGTTAAACCAATCATAAGACTATAAGTTACAGTGTATGTGCGTGCAAGTAATCTGTGTATGGCCATTAAACCTTTGCTTAGTGAATCATTAATATCCCAAGGATCATCTGTAGTTTTGACTTTTGCTCCACAATGACTTTTACTTCCTACTTGTCCGTGTTCAGTGCTCCAAGACCTGCGGCCGTGGCCTGAGGAAGCGGACCGTGTTTTGCCGCAGCACCGATCCAGGGGCCAAAGCTGTGGTGGTGCCCGACAGCATGTGCAGACAGCACCACAGACCCAAAGCCCAAGAGACCTGCGTCCTGCGGCGTTGCCCTAAGAATGAAAGGCTTCAGTGGATCCCCACTCCTTGGGGAGAGGTAAGAAAAAAGGACTCATGAAACTCAAGAAAAATGGAAGTGAACTGAATTTTGAGTTCAGATCCGCAGTGAGGCATTTCTATTTGTGGGTCAGTTTGTTGCTTATTGGTGTGTCTGTCTCAGTACACTGCGACAGATGAAAAAGTAGTGTCCTGAAACTATATAAAACATCAGGAATAAACATTCTTTTTTTTGATGTTGGACCCTCAGAATAAAGAATACAAAGCCCTCTTTCTAGCTTGCCCATTTTTCAAAAACACTTAACAATCATACAGGGAGAAATCTATCATAGAACAGAGAAAGCAGTTTCACAGCCAGCAGCCTCAATAGACCAGAATGAAATGCAACATGTTTCATCTGGAACTATCATTACTCCTCTGCTTCATTTCCCCGCACTGCGCTTGTTGAAAATAATACTGGCACAAACAAATTGAACTGGGAGTAGAGGAGGCAGGTTGGGGGAAATAAGTAACTCTATATATTTTACAAAACTGAACATCTAACTTTTTGTGACCTGTGGAAGATGCATTTCTGCAAAGAAACTACCAACAACCAAAATCAGGGAATTAAACTAACCGTAGTGTTTATAATTCATTTCATTTCACAAATTATCAGTACATACTACCAATGCGCAAATTACAGTAGGTGACCTAATTAATATTTTACGATCTGCTGTGGTGAGCGCAGCTGAAAGAAGATGTTTGAATATTGAGAGATGAAGAAAACAGTACAATTATCTACACCTGAAGCCCTTTTTTGCATTCTTTTTACAAATAGCAACGTTAACTTAATAATTGCAGTGAAAAAAACAAACATCTGTGAAAAATCTTGGCTGTGTTAGTGAGATACTCGAGCCTCTTGCACTTCACTCTGCTTCTCTGTGGCTGTGTGAGAGGGAGCTGCCTGGGTCCCGCTCACTTTTAATAAGCTGAGAGTGAAAGAGAGAGAAAGTGAGTGAGCGCAGAAGGACAGAAGCAGTGTGACCACAAATGACAGCAAAACGAGTCTCATTTTTCAAAACCAAAAAACTTCAAGCTCCTCTTTTGTGCACATATTCTTCTCATCTAGCTCCAACCTCTTTTTCATCCTCCCTGTTGCTCTTCAAGCCTTCAGTGTACTGAACCTTGTAGGCCCTGAACCTTTTCTAGCCATTAACAGGGTGTCTGCCTGGCATGTTCAAATTGCCCACCGTAGCCTTAGGAAGTGCAGTTTTGGAAATGTATAACATGTATAGTCAGAAATGTTATAGATTGTTTCTGCTCGACTAAACTTTGCGTGCTGTGACTTTTATTTGCCCCATTGAAAGTACTTAGTTGTTAGTAAATATTTGTTTTGCTCTACACTTGGAGCCATGAGTGTGAATGATAGGTGGTTAATGGGGTCCCATGCTTCTGAAATGGATAATGATTAGCAGCGGCTGCTACTTTGTGACAGATCAAATGTGTTGGCTCACTCGATACTAATACTGAGAAGTTTCACCCAGGTGAATCTGTGGAAGTCAGTTCAGATAGGATTTTTTTTCTGCATTTGTGCCAAAGATGGTCATATTTTTACCTGTTGTAGCAGAAAGCTGGGCTGATAAAACACACAGGTGACACAAACTGTCTGCTCATCATATATAATGACTGAAAAATACACAGTAAAGCATATCAGGGTTTTCTTTTTTTTCTTTTTTTTTTTTGCTCCTTAACTACAACAGTAAATGAGCTTGCGGTGTCTGTAACTACAGGAACCATCCCATCACTTACAACCACTCACAGAGTTCATTTTCTAAAGCTGTCCCTCCTGCTTGCACTCTGTTTCAGTGCTCCAGGTCGTGTGGCTCAGGCATCCAGAAAAGAGAGCTTCACTGTGGGGAGAGAGACTCACAGGGAGGGTATGTGCCTTCAACTACACACTAAGACATCCCTCATACTTTAATAGATCTGCACAGATACTTGAGACCCCACTGTGCCATCTGTTTACTATCATCTGAGTCAGAATTTCAATGTTTTTCAAATGAGAAGCTCTGTAGGAATAGTCATTTTGAGCAGATAGCCTGTCCTCTCGTTGCACAGGTATGTGGCGTTTACTATACGGAGGTGCAGGAATATAGCCAAACCTTTGGTGGATCTTCAGCAAGGATGCAACCGAGGTCCATGCCCAGAGCTCCCTCGGGTGGTCCCTGGAAGAACGACCTCAAGCGTAGTGGTCTTAGGCTGGTACGCCTCTCCCTGGCAGCAGGTAGATTTTCTTGTGCTTTGGTTAAATGCTATCTACATCAAAAGATTTTTAAGGATACTTGTGTGTTCAAGCTGAAAATCTCACAGTTTGAAGATTTTCTACCTTATATGACACAGTATGATTACAGCTTTGATGTGTTAAAGTTACACTGCTAAAAAGATAAAAAGGGACACTTCATATCCATTTGTTAAACATCGTGTCAAGAAATGTTATTTTATCTACCTTTAAAGTTTATTCAGACTGACCCATGTTGCACTACTGCCTCTATGGGTCAGCTCACATCAGCAACACATCCTGAGCCCTCGACTGTCACACAGAGTTGGTCTTAGGTCAGTTTTCACTTAAATCGGACTAAACACGGACTGCCATTGTCGGACTCTGATTGGTTATGTCATGAGGCATGTGATACTGATGTAAAAACTATAAGAACTACTCAATACCTGATTTCATTCTTTTTGAACTATTCTGTCACAGTACTTGTCACAGTAAAGATTTATAAGTTGCACACATTGTAAGTGACAGATGATTGACTAGAGCAGCCTTTCATTGTTAACAGTACCCAGCATGTTCAGTCCTTGCCATGCAAATCACTGATATCAAATGGAATGCTGCCTTGGCAGTAGGTATACTGAAATGGCTTAGTGGGCTTCAGATTGAACTTGCTTTAACTTGTGTCCACTCTAATATGAATGGGTTGGACACACCACTCTAGACTCGGGTGATATGTACACCAGCTCTAAAAATTTATTTATTTTCTATTTCACTGTCTCTGAATTGGCATTTTTTCGCTTTTGTTTAAGAGACTCTCTTCAGTCTGAGTCTTTTGCATAAATCATTAATTGTCATAATACCACATTCAAGTCCCCCCCCCCAAGAAAACTAAGTGGCAGACTATACAGTGTAGGTGATATAAGCTTACAGATGTAGCAGAGGTCTTAGCCAGAAGTGGAACTGTGGATATGTGGGATAGGCCAAAAGATGTAGAGTCTTTTGGGGTACGGTTGTGTCGACTATGTGTTACATCATCTATTATGCAAAACGTCTTAAGGGCAACCTCTTATAGTGCAGGTCTTATTCTGCTTGATCTCAAGCTTGTGATCCTTGTATGATTCCACCAGAGAAGATATCTCTTGACACCTGCTGCAGGGCAGGTACATGGTGTTAGGGTTGTTTGTTTTCTTCATCTGTTCTTTGTCTCTGCGTAGAGTTTTCTTCCATTCTTTCCCCTCCCTCCCCTTATCCCTTTATTACAGCTGCCTTTCCTCTCTCAAACTTTTCCCCCTCTTATTTGTATGACTGTGCTTCCTCTTGTATCTCTTCTTCTCATTTGTTTCTTTTCTTTTTGGCTCACTGCCTCTTCTCTCCTGCCTTTGTCTCAGTGCTCTGTGTCCTGTGGCGGAGGAGTCCAGACTCGATCCATCCAATGTCTTCGACAAGGTCGCCCCGCAGCTGGCTGCCTGCCACACCAGAGGCCTGTCACTTCTAGGGCATGCAACACACAGTTCTGCCCGGCTGCTCCCCCGGCTCCAGCACATCGCTCTAGCAGCCGGGTCACAGCTGCTGGACCAGCACTGAAAGGTATATTTCTCCGAGGGAGCAAAGAACAAATTTATTCAGCATCATTAAATGATGACCATATAATTACAGACATGGAGGAGATTTACTATTGAGATTTCATTCAAAGACTAGCAGCCCAAGAGTTTGCAAGAGTTAGCGTCATACTGTATCAAAGTAATATCGCAAACCAATTAGTTAGCATGCTAACACACTGGTGTGTAGCACACTTCAGTTTGTTAGTATTTTGCATGTTAAGGAGCTGAACCATTTCTCACCTTTTCGGTGGCGATGACTCAGACAAGAGAGCATTTGGACTATTAATTGGAAGGTTGGTGGCGCAGTCCTCATTTCCTCCAGTTTAGGCGTTCTTGAGCAAAATAGTGAACTCCAAATTGCCCCTGATGCATCCATCAGAGTATGATTGTGTGCATGATAGTTAAAAAGTGCTTAAAGGCATAGAATTAAATGCTGTACGAACGAGTGTTTGTAAATGGCTTTCAATAACAAGCACTGTATAAGTATCAGTCCATTTATATTAGCAGGCCATCACACTAAAGTGTGTAACAGTTATTAACATCATTAAACACTGGCCTATACGCAGCTTAAAACCAGCATGTTAGTATTGCCATTGGGAGCATATTAACATGCTGACATTAGCACTGTGTGTGTTGGTGTTCAACTAATTAGTCACTGAATGAACTGAAAAACAAAAAAGTTTAGCAATAATTTAGTCAAATGTTTTCTGGTTTGCTACTTTCTTTGCTTTGTTTATTCTCATATCTTCAAGTTAATGTTTATTCTTATAATATGTATAATAGCATTGCTTCTTTTTGTTTTCTCTTCAGAAGAACACTGTGTGGATCACTTCAGCTGGTGCCACTTGGTCCCTCAGCACGGCGTCTGTAACCACAAGTTCTATGGAGAGCAGTGCTGCAAGTCCTGCTCCAGCAAGAAGCCATAGAGCTCTGACACCTCTGAGTCCACAACGGCCAGCCTCGAACAAAAGTGCTGCTACGGAGGCCATTCAGGGGCAAATACCCACTACACACAGGACTGTGCACAGCAATGTGTGTTTTCTTCCTGGAGTACTTGACTAATGCATTTTGTATAGAAGTGAAAGAGTACATACACAGACTTTGTTCAAGAAGGCAACGTGGCTGCTGATGCTCTTCTGCCAAAGTGGTGTCATCAGGTCAATGCTCACATTGAAACTGGAAAGACAGTGAAATCCAAACTGAAGACTTGTTGTAAAATATATGTATCTTGATATTTTGTGGAGTATTTTCCTCTTGAAACCCCTGAAACTAGAAAGCCATCAGGACAACAGGAAAGAACAATAGTGTGATTAGTTATATGTTGTGCATTTAAAGGCATCTGGTTTCGTATGTCTTTGTTTAAGTTATTATGGGTCCTAATATATGATTTTACATTTTGTGAGATTTACAGTGGATTTGGGACATGTTATTTTTGTGTTTTGTGCCAGTCACCCTTGCATTCACATGATTCAGTTTTATATGGGGGGTTAGTAATCAGGTGAACTGCACTTCTCCTTCACATGATGTCCACTTGTCCTGTTTACTACTCCTGAATCGCACCACGTCACATTCATGTCAGTGCTATTTAAACATCCGTATCTGTGTACCTAAAATATGTTATTCAACTGCGTTGTAAGTGGTTGTATTTTTTTTTTAAATCTCTGCTTTATCTTTATGGTAAATAACTTCACCATCTATCTGCTTTTCTTTTCTTCACTGCATTCTCTCTATCGATTACAGCCACAATGAGGTGAATAATGAGTAAGGCTGTCTGCAAGCCTGGGGGAGAGTAGAGGAGGGTGAAGAGGGAGAGAAGAGGATGATTGCTCGGTAAGCGTGGGTGCAGTCTAGATAGCAAGGGGTTTTGGTTATTGAGAGAGAGTAGTGTAGGTGTGTTCTCCACAGAAGTCTGGTCAAAATATAGAGACGTGGCAGGTTGAGCTTGAGATAAGAGATGATGCACTCGTGTTCATTTCTGTTTTGATTGGGGCACAAAACAACATAAAAACAACATATATGCAGTAGTTTGGTTGAAGGGAATTTTAATGGCTCAAATTCTAAAAGCAGACAGTAATGTAAAATAGACTGACTGATTTATTGGCAATCCAATATTACCTATTGGCTGGTCTCTCAATATCTACATTTATAGCAACCGATAAATACAATTTCTTAAAAGAGATCAAGGAAGAAAAGCAAAAACACCCTTGAACCAATATGAAATCAAGACGTAAACAAACCAATATCTGTTTCTTTAACTAAAAGAATCTGCAAACATGATTGATCAATATATAAATAGTCTACAAACTCACCTATTATGCTATTTGATTTACCCCCTTAAGAAAACGACTAATAATTTGAGACTTCAGGCAATACTGTATTTATAGATGTATATAAATATACAGTATAAAAACGAAATTGTAGTCAGGCTAAAATTTTCTTCGTACATAAAACTGTTGCCTGTAGTGACAAACCAATGAAAAAATGTGATGCATTTTAACTTCTTGTTTTTTTTTTTATATTTCCCCCACATCTTTACAATTCACTTTCTCTTCTCTGATCAGTCTAAAAAAAACAAACTGTTATTCTCACTTTGCATAAGACCACACAAAAGAATTAGCAAGGTTAGCAACTAACTGGTAAACACAGGAGACCAGTAGAGCAGTAAAAAGCAGCATATAATATTGTCATTTTAAAACCTGTCTTAATTTATATTTAGGCAACTTGAAGTTAATGGAACAAATATGCATGCAAAGTGAAAGTAAATCAATGTGTCTTTACCTTTGGAAAAAAAAAGGCTCTTAAAGTGCCTGACTATTAGCTAGTTGGTAATGGTGGCTGTCAATTTAAGTACAGAGTAGGCCATGTTCAGCTTATCAGAACCATGACTGCAAACAAAAACATTAAAGCAACCCTTTGATGTCATCACAAAAGAAAACTGTTTCCACACCAAATATGCAAATTTAATCATTTTTAGTTGTGAGAAAATTGATGAAGCAACTTTAACGTTTGGCATTAGTGTTGTCTTGCATTCTATCCCCATGAGCACTGTGATTATTGCCCAGTTGGACACTTAATGCCCATTATTTGTCTGGCCACTCAGTGGGAATCTGCTTTCACTATTATTGGCCTCTTGGCAACTTCAGACATTTGATAACTTTTTGCCCCTCTCAAAACTTTCATAACTAGAAGCATGCTGAGATTTATGCTACTAAACAATGTTTTTCTTACAGTGATTATGCCACCCTTTCTCGCTCTGCGGGGTCTGCGATTGCTCTTTAATCAAACCGTCTCCATGAATCATGAAGCCTGGAGTCCTCACATCGTCTTGGCTGCATGCTGTTTACTGGCATGCTGTGAGCCAGACACCACAAGCTGGGGCACATGCACATACACACAAATATGATGGCTAACATACACACAATTAACTTGTTCACTGAGCATCAGGCTGACTGTGAAGTGTGTGGGTGAGAGCATGCTTTTGGAATTTGGGCATGCATACCCTTGTTACATGGTTTCCCAGCTGCATGCCTGCATTTGCTGCTTGGATTCATGCATTTACAAGTGTGTGCCTGTGTCTTAAAGGGTGAGTGTTTGTACAATACATATGTATGTCCCTACAAGCCAGCCTGTGATGTCTACATCGCAGTGGGGCAGCAATTTTACCGCTGAGCTGATGTGAGAATTTCTATATCTCCATCCTGCTTTCAGTTCCAGATGGGACTCAATTTCCTCTGCCCATATTGGTTCATAATGACATATTTTGATTATCTTAGCATGGGGAGCCACATCAACCCTTGGCATTACTGCCGTGGAGAAATAAAGAGATTGAGACTCAAATAAAAATGCAGAAATGGAGGAGTAGCTCTTTATTTGGCATCCTCACTTGAATTTGGATTTGTTGGGTAATGTGCTTGCAACATCAAAACTTAAAAACGTCCCCAAAATATAAACTGATAATTCATCACTTTAATCAGACAAGTTTTTCTGATGCACTCAGAGCTTAAACAAGTTTAGTGTATGCTGGATAAAAAGTGTTTGCAGAGAATTATACGACAATATTCCTAAAAATGTTCTAATATCTATCTATAGATACCAGAAGTCAGTATTAATAAGTTTGATTAATCCCATCCTATAGGGGGTTGTTGACAACGATAATTTCAGGAATTGACAATGCTCACCTGCTACATCCTGTCAATCAATGCAATGGAACCAGATGTTGGCATTTTAGCCACGGAGGACAAGTGTGCAAATTTTACACCATAAAAATACGTTTTTATTTATAGTAAACTCTGATGACAGATTGACTAAAATTTGGCAGTAGCAGTAACATCTGTCAATGAATTTAATGATCTCAGAAATATTAAATCTGGTTAACTTAAACCTGATATGCTTCCATTAATGTGGCAGTTTGACTCTAAGGGTCATGGCAACTTTGTATACTCCAGCTCTATCAGGGAAGTTAGGAAGCACAAAACAGCAACAGCCAACCTGATGGGGATATCTATTACAGCCATCGGGAATGACTACATTAAAGGGAAAACAGACAAACCTTAAAAATCCATTATTAGGCAAAAACTTTAATACCACATGATTTTGACATCAAGCTGTACTTTGAGGTTAATGTTTAGCATTTTAGTATTGTTGCCTAATGCTTATAAGGATGCTGATGCTAGCATTTTGGGAGCACATCTGTGCCTTGCTAGAGCCTCAGTGAGCCACTAGCATGGCTGTGGCCTTGTTTAAAATTCATCACATCTGTTTTCATGTCTCCTGAAACAACCCGCCGCTATGAGAAACCTTGTCCAAAGAAAAAGAAGTGTACCTTTTTTGGAACCTGGTACACAATGAGCACACTGCACGAAAGTAAATGCCTGCCTTGGTCTGTCAACTCCAAAATAGGCCTGTCTCTCTTAATACTTGAGCTACCCAGGCTGAGTGATGCAGGTATTTCTTTCCTGTTTCCTGTTTTCCAGTTGGCAAAGCACCAGTTGTTGTCGGTCCAGTTGTAAGTCAGGGTCGGCTGTTATTTTCAGCTTAGACATTTCTCCGCTAGCTAAGTGTCAGGCAGGCCGGCTAAGACCGTCGTTTGTGTGCACTTGGCAGGCAGTGAACCCTGATAGGACCTCTCACAACTGACAGTCAGTCTAATCACATCTTAACAAAGTTCCATCTAAGCCTGTGTATGAGTGTCTCTGTGTGTGTATGTGTGTGTGTGGACTGAGAGAAAGTGAGAGTGATCTCTCTTTCTTGCAGGGCTTACTCTGAGGGCAGGCTTCACAGCAAGTGAAAGCTGTCATATTTCAACTCCACCTCTCCCATCAGTACCTCTGTATCAGACAGAGTTCACGAAGCACGTGCCCACACATACAAAAAGATAGCAGACACACACTCTTACCCCTTTCTTCGTCCCACCATCCCCTCTATCTCTCCCACACACACACACACACACACACACACACACGATGTGGCTGCCTGCACAGGGGAGCGCCTGGTATTTGCTGCAGGGTGATTGCAGGTGGATCATGGCATTGGCAGGGCTTTAGAGGTGTGCAGTTGTGTGGGAGTCGCAGTGTGGGGCTCATTCGTTGCTGCCAGGCGTCTCCTCTAACGTTAAGAGATCTGCGAGGAGCAGATCTAGGTGATTAAGAGCTCAAAAGACGACTGGCAGCTCAGCGTCAAGACAAGCCTTTGTGTCTCTGTCATGCTGGATGATTTAAGAATCGAGTAAAGACCTGTGTATATATGGCTCACGCATAACTAAACCTCCTCAGCTCTGGCGAACCCTCACCCCCGATCCTTGCCCATCACATGCTCCCAGCCTGTCTCTCATTAGCTTTTTCTGCTATCCATCTCCATCTTTTTTTAAAAAACATTTTCTTCACCTCACCTTACCTCCCTCTTCCTCTCCCCCTTCGCTGTCTCACCTCTCACTTCTTTCATCTCATTACCCTTGCTTATGCTTTTGTAAACTCTGGAAAGTTTGTAGTGTTTGGCTTTTGAAGCGCCTAAATCACTTTATAATGCCGCATGCTGTGTGTTTTCTCTCTGCTGTGGGAATCTGTCACAGCTGTTGTATATGCATGTCTCAAAATTCATTTTTTAATTAAAAGATCAGGAATCTTCCGGGGTGTTTAAATTTGTGAGAAAGCAAAAAAACAAACAAAAAACCCCAGAAGTGTCCCTTGACCCCTCTCGACTGAGAATCATCGATTACGTGAGCGTTTTGTTTTAAAAACATTGCACCATCCCTGTTTGTCATACTGCAGCAGAGGCAGCACTTATTCCCCTTGGCTGCTCAAGCACCACTTTTACAAAATACAGTCCACCTGTTCATTTGCTGATTACATGAATGCACTGATTTGCTAAGCATATTTTTTTACTCATCCCCCTAAGCGCATAGAACCTTGAATGTGGACATTTTCTTATTTATTTATTTTTTGTTTGCTTTTTTGCTCATACCAGCTTATTCTCGCTCTTGATCTCTCTCTGGTGCATAAAGGTTTTCTGAGCGTCCCTGCTCAGATCCATTGAGTAAAAAGCTTTTACTTAACGTATTTTCTCCTTGAGGCTATGAATATTATTGATCTGTGTGTTTGCTGCAACTCTCTCTCATCTATCTTCCTTTGAGCGGCCGGTTTCTCATCATTTTCCCCTGAAATGTAAGAATTGATTAGAATCCTTGGGGCCCTGTAGGCACCAGCTGCAGCCATGCCCACCTGCCTAACCTTGTGAC